CTCTCCTGTCCAACCACCGAATGGTCCTCTCCCCTCGTTTATTTATCTTTACCTTCCATCCTTCTTATTATAGACTGATTTTATTTATAAAATTAACATATATTTAGAAATATGATGAAAATTATATTTTTTAATTTTTTATTTATAATTAATTTTTATGATTTAAAATTATTTTGATATACTATTATTTAAAAATAATTTTTAAAAAATAAAAAAATATTATTTTAATATATTTTTAAATAAAAAATACTTTAAATTATATCTGCTATCACACTCCTTAATACTATATTTTATTACGGTTCAACATGCATTTTATGGTATTTTTAAAATTATTTTTATTTTAAAAAACACCTTATGAATATTTTTTACATATATTTTATGTTTTTCATGTACTAATGCAAATTAAAGAATATTTTTAAAAATATTACCGACCAGCTTTGACGGATAGGGATGGTACGGTTTTTAAGGTTTTTTTTTTTTAAGAAAAAAAACGGAAAACGGGGTGCCCTTTTCACTGGGCTAGAGTAAAAAAAAAGGTTAGTGGGAGTCAGCTGAACATATGATCCATTATTAAATTTGCAATTTGCATGTTGTGTCTTAGGTTCGAGAGGGCGATATCCGTACACGTCGTTAACTACCTAAAATGCCAGCTGTCTATGTATTAATTTGTGGGCCTGCTACTTAAGGCCCACTCCTCTAATCTTTCATTGGTTGTCGCTAGTGTTGATTTTTTTTCTCTTCATACACCATCATGCTAGGCGCCAAGCAAATAAATGTAAATGCCAAAAAAAAGAAAAGAAAAGGAAAAAAAAAAAAAACCGACAGGCCAATCATTGCTGGAGTTTACTTCTAATCCCATGATTTAGTTAGTTAAGGATTTTTTAACGGAAAGCAAGGGGATTTACTATGGTAATCCACACTCAGAACTCAATTTTACCTTTTCACAGAGCAACAAATCAACTTTTTTTTTTAATATTAAAGAGTAAAATTATCTTTATACATGGAATCATTGGTTATTGTTAGATTTAATTAGAGATATACATGTTTTTTTTTAATATTTTTTAAAACAATGCAATAACTAAAATAACTTGAGAAGCCAAAACTATTGAAGTAACATATAAAAGCTATATAGATATTTTTATTTTTTTATAGTGAAATAAGTTCAATGCTCTTGGAATTAAAAAAATTAAAAATTTCTTGTAGGACTTTTTAGGTCTTTTACTCATTTTTTTTTTAAATTATCCTTGTAACTAAAGAGCATTTTGGTCCTTTTATAAATATTAATAAAAAAAGGTAACTTTTGTACACAATAAAATCACTTAAATACACTTGAGATAAAAATAAAATAAATGAAAGCTTCTTTGCATAAGAGATTTTGTCTTTTATACTTGGCTTTTATTCCTCTACTAATGTTTATTGAGATTAGGGACAATTTGATCTTTTTGTAGATATAATGTATTATAAAAAATAAATAGCTAGCATATGTTATGTATGCACTAACGAATAAAGTTGCTTAAGCCATTCAGACAAAATATACAACATCATCTAATAGTCAAACACCACCTTCTATCACGGTCTTGAAAGCGCACTAATGTTTTTCTCATCGATTAATGTACATGGCAGTGTGATGATTGAGCTCCAATAAGCTTTCTTTCTTCTCTTTCCTCTTTTCTCTCCCTTTTCATTGACAAAATACGAAGGTATCTTGCCATTTATTTTTTGAAAAATTATACGAAGGTATCTTGCCATTTATTTTTTGAAAAATTACTCCTAGCATCTTATTGTTCAGTTAAAATTGCACTTGTTTATCAAATTTTAAAAAATTACAGTTTACATCCTAAATTTTGATACGCGGGTATTAGTTTACATCCTAAACTTTGATGCGCAAGTAACACTTTACATCCTTTACTTGGGGCGCCCAAAAAAATCAACAAAAATTACCTGATTATTTACATGATGGTTATTATATCTCAATTAATTACTAAAAAACCCCTTATATTATTAAAATTAAAAAATTACCATTAAGTTTAAAACAAAAAACAAAACCTTTAGACCCCTTTTTCCTCTACCCCGACCACCTCTTTCTCTTATACAATTGCAAAAGATTTGATGAATCACTCTCATCATTATAATATGATAAATCACTCTCACTTTCATCTTCTGATGTTGCAGGTGGTGACGATAATTTTGAGTTAAGCTTTGTATCTCAAGTTTGTATTTGTCCTTGCTTTCTTAGAAGAATTTAAGTCTTGCCTAGGTTGATGCTATAATGTCTAAGCTTTGCTTGTGATCAAAGTATATAAAATCTTTTTGTCTAGAAATAAATAAAATATTGCATATTACTCATATCATAAATAATAAAATCATACTATATTTTACCTATGTAGATATAATGACTTGGTTTTTAGACATATTGGGAGCAGATTAGGACACTCGGTTTATAAGGGAATATCATGGTGACTGACTGCTAGAATTTTGATAAAATTACAAATTTACATAAATGGGAGAAGGGATGCTAGGCTATACTAGTTCAATGGCTTTTATTTGAGAGAAGATCGAGTTGTTATAGGCTAAAGTTGGTCTATGAGAGAAGGTTGTTGTCTTGGTGATAGCGTTAAGCTAAACAATGGTGGTTAGCTTAGTGGAAAAGATGGTGACAATTTTGTGGAAGAGATGAGAAAAAAGAGGATGCTAGTTTTTTTTTTTTAATGTACGGATATTTTTTGTTACTTTGCTTCTTCTTTTTTATCTATATTTTTTTCCTCTTAGGTGTTTCTCCATGTATGTTTCCCTCTCGTCTTCTCTTTGAATTTCTCTCTAGCTCGAATGTATGTTTTCTTTCATAACTTTTTTCTAATGTTATTGTCTTGAATTTCTATAAAATGAAAATATTTTGCAAATATACTTCAAGCCCTAAGATAAGTAAAAAAAAAGAAGAAGAAGTGAATTTGACATTTAGATTTTATTTGCTATTTAATTATTAGAAGTTATATTGAATTTAAAAAAAAAAGCTCTAAAGGGAATGAAGTGAAAATTTTAGGATTGGATTGAGCTTTTGATGATTGTGCTTCCCATGAGTGCATCTTGGATTAAAATGTGTAAGCTTTATCTTTGAACTTGATTGTTCCTCCAAAACCAGGTTCTATATCAAAACTAGGTATTTTTTATGTATAAATCAATAAATATATAAGAAATATAATATAAAGAGAAGAGAAATAGAATAAAGGTTCATAGAATATGTGTTTAAATGAATTGGCTCTGATTAATTATGAATGGTCTTGTGTGGTAATGAATTATGATTTTTTATACTATGTTATGATTGATGTTCTTGAAAAATAAAGGTTCATAGAATATGTGTATAAATGAACTGGCTCTGATTAATTGTGAATGATCTTGTGTGGTAATGAATTATGATTTCTTATACTATGTTATGATTGATGTTCTTGAATGAATTGTTTAATATCTTTAATAAATTTGTGGTGGTTGAATCTTATCAACATACTTAATAACTCAAGATATTTATACACATTAGTTAGATAAATAAATATTATAAATAAAGATATTGTTTCTTGTCTTTGATTATAATGCTTTATTATGCTATTAATAGAAAGGTGAGTGGCTGCTCAGTGCCTTTTGAGATGATTTGTGGAAGGAAGTGACCAATGGCATGAAATTTCTTTGCTTGGCATGGAAAATCTATGAGCGCCAGCAACACCACTAGATGGTTTGAAGGTGTGCAAGTGCATGCTAGTGGGAGATCATTTGGCACAATGGTTGCACCATTATTTTACTAATTTATGAAATTATGTTTTGCTTTGACAAGAAAAGAACTTTAAAGAATAACTATTCCAAATATCCCTAAACTATGCACTCTTAACTCCTTGAAATCTTAAAATATATCAAGGGTTAAGCCTCACACGTTGTTATTAGACAGCAAGTCAAGGATGGTGCGCACCAAGATGGCTAGAAACTCTAGCCATTTAAACTTGGATGAACTCAACCATAAGAGCAGAAGTGGAGCATGAATGGCTGTATCGGGAAAGAAAATAGTAGTCTGCATATAGTTCATGTGTATGCTTTCTAGTAAGGTGGGCATAAATTAATGGACTGATGGAATCAGCTTCTTGGTGTATAATTTACAGTATGGTCAGAGAATTTAGCCGAAAAGTGCAAAGTCTAAGGAACATCTTTGATGCTACTAATTCCGGCTACACAGTACATACACCTAAATATATAATGCCTCTTTACTTTTTCATCCCACTCTACTGCTTTATTCTCTCTTGTACCCCACTTCTTCCTCAAAATATCTTCTTCCTTCATGGAAAATATATAGCCAAATGAATATTTTATTCATTTATAAAATCATTGATGCTTAAGATATTTAAATCATTCATTATATTTATATGCAAAATACAAAAAAACATAAAAAAATGACCTGACTTTAACTCTATCAGATTACAAAGGGATGGAGGCTAAAATTGAAGGTCTAAAATAACTTTAATTTTATTAATGGTTTTTTATCTATAAATTCATTCTCTAATGAATAACCTATACGTATAAGAATTAAAACGACATTGTTTTGATAAAACTACCATGTTAACGTAGCGTCAGTTGCAAATGGCCCCCAATTGAGGTGTCGGCTGGGTTTTGAGCATCAGAAACTGTCCACTTCATATTTGCCATCGCGTTGAGGTTTTGATGCAGAGTCTCAGGGTCATAATATAAATGGGCTTGGGCTTGATTGTTAAGTGAAAAAATTTAAAATGGGCTTGGGCTTGATGGTTAAGGAAGAAAAGAGTTAAAATGGGCTTGGCTTATCTAAAATTCAACGAATTCATTACATATCAGATACAGAGATTGCAGAGACCAGGCTATTTTTCTTTTCTTCCTTTTTCTTTTTCCTGCTTGGATGTGGCCATACAGGGGAAAAGAGCCCCTAACATCAATGGTTCTTACAGGATTTCCTTGGTAAGTTGCTCACTAACTCCACTGTCTGCTCTCTAATGCTTGTTTTTTTATTTTATTTTCTAATTTTTTTATAATTAATGAGCAAAAAGAGGAGCATGGTGGGTGCCTCAACGCTCTCTGTTAAAGCCACAGATTTGAATTAAGATGATATATGAAGAGTTTGCAGGAAAGATGAATCTGTCGAGGATTACGTTTTGCGCATTAAGATTGAGGATGGTTTAAGACTGTTTGCACATTAAGATTGAGGATGGTTTAAGACTGTTGTTCTTACACAGGCCTGGTGAAGGCTCACAGTAGTACAGTGGGAAGGAACTACAAAAATTGAAGGCTGTATGATCAACTGGGGTATTCCTTCCAGAAAGAGACCCCCCTGAGAGTTCTCAATGCTGCATCATTTAGTGAACTGAGAGTGAGAAGGCTACAGACAGTTTCTCGCACCATATCACAGGGATTTTCCTCCTGGCTTATGGCATTCTCGTGGCATGAAAACCCTAGAAGAACCGAGTGGAGAGCAGGCCAAATTAAAGGATTAAATGAACCCTTCATCTATCTCCACTCCTAGCTCCGATCAAACCGTATCAGACTTTGCTCATCCCAGACAAATTGGATAAAAATTAAGTCCCTCGAAACCAGATGATACAGAATACCCTACCTGTAGAACCAGCCCTATTTACTATTATTTGCTAAAGCAGCTCCCGGCCCCCAAGAAAGCTGCAAGCTCCTCCCTCAAGCGAGTCCCGTCTGCCTTCCCATTGCTTTAAGCCAACTCCTTTCTCTCCCTGCTCCAAACAGAGACCCCCGGGTCTCCTCCTATGCCCCCTCCTTAAGTAGAGCTATCTTTCGTATAGAGTGCTTAAATTAATTCATCCTGGTGCCATGTCTCTTTGGAGTTTGGTTGAGCTTGTAGAACATTTGTATTTAAGCAGTCGTGTTACTCCTCTGTGCTCCTCGATGCATACTCTTCTGGCTTGTATCATTTTCTCGTGTTGTTATTTAATAAACATACTTCTAAACTCGAGAGTAGATCCAACAAGCTACCAAAAAAACTCATTCCAACCATATTTCAACCCAGAAAAACCCAAAAAAACCCTAAGTAGCTCATAAAACACATCCATGGTCTCAAACATCCAAAAAATTGACCTCGAAACCCCTCATCAACTAAAAGGTTGCAAGACATTCATTGACTCATGCAAACAATTTAAGTTGATAGACCTTGGAGGCAGGATCCATTTAACTTGATCTCAAGCAAACAATTTTCAAGTTCAAATGAAGAGAGACCGGACAGATACCTCAAATTCCATCACATTATACATCAGACAGCTTTAAAATTTTGTCAAAGCCTGTGGAAATAAACAAGCAATTCAAGTCCCATAAAAAATCTCGCTTTGAACAACATCCTGATACCAGTCCCGTCATAATGTAAATTCAAGTCAATTTTTTAACCAAGACGTGGGGAAAATCAGACAGATCTCTGCATCCGTACAAGTTATGCATAATAGCATGAGGCATCGACATGGCTGCTGCTTAATGAGCATTAGAAAAGGCTGTAACACCGGAGCAAGCAACGCAATGAACACACACAAAATACAGAACACTGGAGCAAGCAACGCAATGAACACACACAAAAGTCATAAAATGTTCCATTCCAATTCTGATTGCAATAGAAACTCTTTGAGCTAGCAAAATAGAGCAAGAGCGGGAATGAAAGACCGGTATTGAAATACCAAAAATCCAATTCCCAACAAATCTCATCCATGTCCAACAACAAAAAACAAACAAAAGTTGATAACAGAATCGAGTAGATGAACAAAACTCTTCTCTAAAAACATAACTATTACTGAGAGACACCAAGCCACTTTGTGAAATTCTCAAACTCTGTGTAATCGCTGTCTGAGATCATTGTCTTGTACCATGCCTTTCCTGCAGCCTTGGCAGCGGCTAGCTCCTCCTGATAGATTTCGTAAGAAAATACAACTTGTTAATAAACAAGTAACAACATTTCAGATATGTCATAAAAAATGCCTACTATAGCATCCCTGAAGCATAAAGATATGGACTTGGAGGGAGTAATAACAATAACAAATAATAGAAGTAAAATACAAGGCTAAAATAATAAAATAACATTTGATCTAAAGAATACATAAATATGATGGAAGGATTCTTAAAGATAAGAAAGAAACAAAAGGTATATAGCTCAAACAGATAAAAAAACACTGCAAAATGAACATAATACTGCCATACAAATATTGAAGTCTTCAACAATATGCCTAATTCTTCACATTAACAGCATCAAAGCAACCAACTAATAATTTCACAATATACCAACATAAAAAAAAAGGATGTAAGAACAGATACCTTTGAGACAGGCTTCCTCTTGGATGTAACAGATACCTTTGAGACAGGCTTCCTCTTCTTGTCGAGCTTCTCCTTCTTAGACTTCACACGCTCTGCCTCGGCCAAAAGAGCCATCCTCCTAGCAGTCTTAGCATATGGGTTCAATTTCAACATCACATTCAAGTTCTTCAATGGGTTCTTCTTCAAAGTAGCCCTCTTAACTTCCTTCTTGATTGGCTTCACAACACTCTGAACCTCATCAGAGTTGATGATCCTAGCCAAATCAGCATTGACCATCTTGGACCTAGGTAGCACATACCCCTTCTTCTTCTCTGAACACTTCTCAAATGAACCATAAATTGAATCAAGCTTCTCAATAGCTGATTTCGTCCAGATCACAAACCTTCCAAGATGACCACCAGGAGCCAACTTCAACAAGTTCAACCTCTCAACGTTAGCAACCTCAACTCCTGGAATATTACGGAAGGCCTTAACCATCTTAGCACCTTCGGTTCCATACACAATCAGGGGTCCCTTGCGAGATATATACCTCCTGTTCCTCATTTTCCCCTTTCCAGGCCGGATAGCGTGAGAATCCTTAGCCTTCTCAGCATCTGGAAAAGCGCCGATCTCCTTAAGCACCTTAATAGCAGTAGATGTCTTTTCAATGCTCTCAGCTGAGTCGGAGATAATCAAAGGCATCTCGGGGACTGACTCCACGCGGTGACCACGTGCCATCACCAGAGAGGGTATAGCAGATGCAGCAATAGCTGAAACGACAGCGTATCTCTTTTGGTTCACATTAATCTTCCTATGCCAGCGGCGCCAGATCTTGGTGGGAGCAAACATGCCTCCACCACGGCACATGTTTCCGTAAGCTCCCTGACCAGCACGGTGAGTTCCACCACCAGGAACACGGGGAATACGAGAAACGGCACGACCAGTACCCCATGATTCGGCTGAGGTCTGGTGACCGGCTTTCTTGGAGACGGCATAAGGCTGGCGGCTATTCTTGGAGATGTTTGAGTGGACGTAGTTGACGATGTCTGGTCGGATCGAGGCCTTCATGACATCGGGGAGAGCCACGGTGGCAGCCGAATCCGTGACCATGTCGTTGAGGCAGGGGAGCGTTTGAACGGAGACCAGGGGGCGTGCGGCGGCGGCCATTTGGTTGTAGAAGGGGAGAGAAGCGGAGGGGCAGTAGGGTTTAGGTGTGCGAGAGTGCTTGAGATGCGTTTAGAGTTCAATATATAGGGGATTTTTTAGGGTTCGGCTTTTGCTTTTGCGTGTTTGGTTTATGGAATAACGGTATTCTAGTGGGCGGATAGGCCTTGTTTAGGCCTTGCTTGTGTAGGATTTACGCGGGTTTTCTGATATAAAGATTATTATAATACTTGCATATCGATTATTGGACAAAATAAATATTTAGTTACCAAAAATTATAATTTGGTAACCATATGCGTAATAGAGCTTCTACATTTAAACAGTTAGGTCTACTATTATATATATATATGTGTGTGTGTGTGTGTGTGTGTGAATCCTGTAAGAGTATAAATATGTAAGAATAAGGTTGAATTCAAAATATGAGGATTGATTATGGGATTTAAATTGGTTTTTATATTGTAAGTAATGCTATTTTTTTCTTTTTTTTCTATTTTTAATTTGATTTAATTTTTGGCTTATGGCTAGTATGAGCAAGTATAATTAAACCTCATGTTACAATTAAAAAGCTACTATTAAAACCAACTAAAATTTTAGAAACTCATCTAATAGGACATGTATTATTATTTTTATAATTTAGTCTTGTTTGAGGTTACAATAATGATGATAGTTTAAAGTATTTTTAGTTTAAAAATATATTAAAACAATATTTTTTTAAAAAATTATTTTTAATATTATCATACCAAAACTATTTAAAAATATATAAAAACCATTTTGAGTGATCAAGTGACCTTCGAACTTCTGTCATTTGTATTGGTGCATATGCCTTCAACTTGTTATTTTCTTTTCGTATCACCCTACAATGACTTTCATAGATTTCTGAACGGTGCTGTCACCTGTCAACGTTGTCCCTTGAAAGTAGGAGGAGAAAACTCAGCATATATGTTTTTTCGAGATGAAATGGTCACTGAGAATTATATAACTAATAAAACTGCCAATTTATCCAAGACAGTGACGTGTTTCCTTGTAAAAGCAATCCCCAGACACTTATTTGGCATTAGGGAATTTGTCACGTACGATGTTTAACTCCATGGCGTTAGGAAATTTGTCGCATAAGATGTTTAACTCCATCGTATGATCATCACATGCTTGCTGCTAAGAGCATGATCATACTGAGCTTTTCCAGAATGATACTCCAAAAGAATGTTAATCCTTACAATTGGCTCAAAATCAGGCCTCTAGCCTCCACGAGTTAATAGCAAGGTTCATCGATAACAGAATCTGCAAATCACCAAAGGGAATTACATATACACAGTGTATTTAGAACTCACACGGGGAAGCACAAAGTATACACACCAAAAACAGAGGTTAGCTTGTTAGAGTTACCTACATATTGCTCAGTTCATCAAACATCCAGCGAGTACTCATTAGAGTTAGAAGAATAAGTTGCAATTTTCCCATCCAAAAGAACAAAGGAACACAGCAATTTTAAAATTCAGAAAGCCAAAAAAGTAGAACCACTTCCATTCCCTTGAAGCAACTATCAGGAATTGATCCACCAGTAGAATCATATACTAACATAGTTTAGGACCACTCCTTCGACTCCAGACCAGCAACAGAAATGGATCGTTGATGATGGGTATCATAGACAATTGCATATCAGATTGTGAATATGAGCATATCATCCCACTCAGAAACTTGCATGGATTTGAGACAGAAGTCATGTTCCTTTTCTTTTTTCCCTTTGTTAAGATAAGAATATAAGATGTCTGTAAATAAAGGCACAAACAAAATAGAGCTCCAGTTATCCAATATGCAGAACAAAAGCTGAGGAAACACCACCAAAATACCCTGTAAACAATACAACATAACAATGCAAAGAGAAAAAGAATTATCCAATAATTCCCAATGTTTGGCAATTATCCAATATTCTTAGCATCATAACACACCATATCATGGAAAAAATAGCACAACTACACAAAAATTTTCTTTCCTCCAGAACCACAGAACATGTCAAAACATGTCCTCTAGGTTCTACTCATTTTCCTAATAATTCTCTTGGCTACAAACTGTAACAACAAAATCAAAGAACTACAATGAGAAAAAATAGAATAGGAAGGAAAGAAAAGGAAAGTGACGCAACTTTTAGTCAAAAGTCAATCACAGTTCCAAGCTTCCATATGAACAACAAAATTTACGATCAAAAGCATAAGCATGCTTTTGATTATCTAGTTGACACAGAAAGGTCAAGATCTCTTAAGAATACAGAGCTAAAAAAACATGTACAGGCAATAGGAATTTTAAAACATATTCAGAACTGGTGATTAATCATTGTGCGAGCTTCTACATACATACTTCAAGCAAACTCCTGGATCATAAATTGAGAGATCTTGGTATTTTTTTGTCTATGATAGTGCGCATCTGTTTGTATAACATTTATTAGCTCCACAAAATTTGAGTTTGAGCCCCATTCTATGGGATTCCATCATTTAAAAGCCTGTGCAAAAGGTTTCTGTTATGATAAT